TACTACTACTACTACTACTACTACTACTACTACTACTACTACTACTACTACTACTACTACTACTACTACTACTACTACTACTACTACTACTACTACTACTACTACTACTACTACTACTACTACTACTACTACTACTACTACTACTACTACTACTACTACTACTACTACTACTACTACTACTACTACTACTACTACTACTACTACTACTACTACTACTACTACTACTACTACTACTACTACTACTACTACTACTACTACTACTACTACTACTACTACTACTACTACTACTACTACTACTACTACTACTACTACTACTACTACTACTACTACTACTACTACTACTACTACTACTACTACTACTACTACTACTACTACTACTACTACTACTACTACTACTACTACTACTACTACTACTACTACTACTACTACTACTACTACTACTACTACTACTACTACTACTACTACTACTACTACTACTACTACTACTACTACTACTACTACTACTACTACTACTACTACTACTACTACTACTACTACTACTACTACTACTACTACTACTACTACTACTACTACTACTACTACTACTACTACTACTACTACTACTACTACTACTACTACTACTACTACTACTACTACTACTACTACTACTACTACTACTACTACTACTACTACTACTACTACTACTACTACTACTACTACTACTACTACTACTACTACTACTACTACTACTACTACTACTACTACTACTACTACTACTACTACTACTACTACTACTACTACTACTACTACTACTACTACTACTACTACTACTACTACTACTACTACTACTACTACTACTACTACTACTACTACTACTACTACTACTACTACTACTACTACTACTACTACTACTACTACTACTACTACTACTACTACTACTACTACTACTACTACTACTACTACTACTACTACTACTACTACTACTACTACTACTACTACTACTACTACTACTACTACTACTACTACTACTACTACTACTACTACTACTACTACTACTACTACTACTACTACTACTACTACTACTACTACTACTACTACTACTCCCGTGTATGCGGAACACATCCCTGCTTCGTGTACACCAGCTCTTGCGTGAGACAGTGTGCTCGCTGGTCTACCGGTACCGGTGCCTACTTTCCACCATGGAGCAGCCGCTGATCAGCGCATTATTTGGAGATTTCGTCACTCCGACTAGGGCTGGCCAAACGCCCGGCTCCCAACAACATCTGCTGCAGCTTCCATCCAGAACTCATCCCGTGTCTCTTTCTGCTGCACGCGTTTGGAACAGTCTTCCACCTGATGCGAGAAACATCCGCCCCCCCCCCCCCTCCAGTTCAAGGGTGTGTTGCACGCGTATTGTCTTACTGTAGCGTTACAGCAAGCCCCCTTCCCTGTCTTGAATACTAGTATGTAGTAATCCTGATGCTCTGATACATACCGAGGCTAGCTGTATGCTCAGTCTCCGGCTAGCTGTATGCTCAGTCTATACATTCTTGATCTTATCTTCTTCTTTTTTCCTTTCTCGTTTCTTTAAAATGTTTTACTGCCAGAAGTGGTCTTCATATAAGGAGGCAGACATTCCTGTTCGTTGTTCGACTTTAAATAAATCCAACCAACCAACCAATGTCCGGCGAACAGGGAGGTTGAAACAGGATGTTGGGTACTCCTCTATCGAGAAGATCCTGCTGTGCTTGAGTGAAGTCAATGAAAGAAATTTTGAACTGTTTTTAGTATGCAACACGTGCACTCCGAACTTTTACGCGAGGTGCGTACCGTTGAGTTCATACACACAAATCGCCAGTGATGTAATGGGAGCTGGCTTCGCGCCAATTCGTGACGCCGGCTTTGCACTTCGGGCCGGATTTCACCGCGCAACTTAGGTGACAGTATTTTCTGGAAAACACTGACATGGTCACTTTCGTGTATTGCTCGCGAGAAACCTGTTAAGACATTTCTCAAGTTATCTGGTGACATCTGCGCTGTGCTAACTAATTACTTACTACCAACACACAGCATAGAAGTCAGTCAAAGCTTGTGATCTGTCACTAGTTTTAGACATGTCATATTCCTAGCACTGAGGTAACATGTGTCGTCATAGAAATATTAACACCTGATGTTGGGAAGGCCGTCATGGCTATGTGTTTTTTTATGATGTATTTACTATTAATTCTCTCAGGATGTGAAATATGAAATGTCTCAGAAATTCGGTTTTTTTTTGGAACGCAATTTTGCGTACATGTAGTGATTTAGCCTACAGTTAGTTCACGAGTCATTTCGTGGGTTGTTTGTTTCTCGCTTTGCACAGTGCAAGACAAGAATTTGCACAACTGCACAAGAGTATTGACGTTGACTCTCAAAATGATTCTTGGTCGCCTTTTGTTTGTTTCTTCTAAGTTAGTTTTGACAAAGGGACATGTATTTTCGTTTTGTCTTTTCTCGCAGTGTTTCCTTTCATTTCTAAGCCGCGACGCCGTCGTGTACTGCGGTACGACGGGTCACGTGCTGCCAACCTACTGCATTCTTTATTCACCAGTTTTCACGGCTACACTGCATGCATTGTATAATGACTCGTAATTATGTTTTGCTCTGCGCTGAATCCCGTACTAGTGTAGGGCTTTTTCAGAGTTTGCTTTCGGTGAGGTGAGGCAAGTTCGGTTCTTCGAAAGGAAGAGAAAGAGTTGTCTTTTTGTTGTTTGCGAAATATCTATTTTACTACCACAAAGTCTTCCCGTTGCGTGTGAGAACCTGCATGACACCTAAGAACACCAAATTGATGTACATAACTTCTCCTTTGCAGACTTCCACTTCATATAGCATCCTGATGAGGGCAATTTGCTAAAAACGTTGAAAATGATTCTAAGAAATGAAAATGAATTTGCAGTGCCCAGGGAATGAGCATGTGTGCTCGCTCACCAATTCTCTTTGAAAAAAAGAAGCGGCTATAAAAGAACTTTCTCCGGTACACACCTGGAGGTTGAACAGCTCTTCTGTTCGGCTTCGTTGTTGTTATAAAATCTCATGAAAATGGAAATGGCTAGCAGCTTTTATCGGCAACAGACCACATACGCTAACGTATTGGGATACGCTAACGTACGAGGATACGCTACAAGCAAGGCAGGGATACTACACTATCTGGCCCAGAATCTGCGAAAACCAGGCTTAGGGTGAAATTTCACAAAATGACTTTTTCCCATTTTCAGCTTCTACTGGGCATGGGGGGTCAGGAAACAAAATATTACAGGTGTGGGTCGACTCATAGTGGTATTAAAAGCATCTCAAACACACCAGGGTATTGTGTTAAAAAATCCAAAAAAAACACAAAATTGTTATCACAGGAAAGAAATGAAGAGAGATCCACCAGACTGAAGGAAGAGACATGGATGATTTTTGTTTAGGTTACATGACAAGGTAGGAATGTGGGGGCAGGCTTGTTGTGGCCCCTTGGTGCTGCAGGCTGTAGTGGCCATGCACAGTTCTGCATGAATTATTTTGTTTCCTCCTCACTCAGCACATTCTGGGGCTGAATACATGTGCTGGCATGCTCTGGCGCTACACACCACAAGGAAACCCGACTCCAGTTGAGATGGCACCTTTTGAAGGGCGAATCTAGTACAACTGTTCAGAAACAAGCAAGAACACAGCCTTTCAAACTGTTCCACTGTTCATAGTAAGCGCATAGTGTGCTGGCGTGCTGCAGTATCTGCTTGGTGCTGACCAGCAAGTGAAATATCAGCACGCCGTACCGTGAATCCCTTGCAGTTAGCTGTCCAGCGAGGAAAGTCTCGAGTGGGGGCCTCTCGATCTGCTCGCTCATTCGCCTGGCATTCAGTAGCACTTCATCGCCAAGGACTTCAATTCAAAACCGTTTTCACATTGCGCTTCAAGCCATTTTCCTCGCGAATTTGCTGCAAACGTATGAGCTCCGCTGCGCGCGTTCCCTTTGCGTGAGGCCCAGAAACAGCTAGTATCTCTGTACTTCGATTGGCTGGATCGATGTCGTCCAGGTTCTCCTCGCTATCGCCATCACGACTCTAACTGGAGACGATTTCTTCACCATATTCCGCAAGCAGCAGCTAGCGCAGAAATTTCGCCATCCCTGAGTGTAGGAAATGGAATCCGTTCGATCAGCTCAAAAACTCTTCGTTGTGACTAGAGCCAGTAGAGGAGTAGCAGAGAATACTCTACCGGAAGCCCTTTGACTTCCCTGACTGCTGAAACCCTTCCTGCCATGACTGCTACTTCTTCAAACAAGCGAGATTCTCTTTGGTTCCACTTCACTGCACTCGATCGTCCACGCGACACAACCTTTTTACAAAACATCATTTTTCTCAAAAAAATGATTTTTCACCCTAAGCCTGGTTTTCGCAGATTCTGGGCCATCTTATCCAAGGGCGCGTTTGGTTGGTACGAACTAGAACAGGATTCACCAGAACAGCGCGTTTGGTTGGGACTGCACCTGTTCTGGGTCGGCCAGAACATGTTCTGCTTGCTCCGGCCTCGAGGCCGGAGCAGACCGAGCAGTTTCACTTTTTCACAGTGAAACCTGGCGGGAACATCAATTTTTGTCCCAGATGATCACGTGCATACGCTTTTGGGTTGGTTTCGTCGTACCGTACAAAGTGACCATGGTGACCCATACACATTTTGAAGAATGCACCAAGTTTGGCACATTTTTCCACAAAAATGTGCTCTGTTTCTGGAGTACCGTTTGGTTGGCATGAGGTTGCTCCATGTGCACCAGCTGTTGGATCCTGTTCTAGATCGTACCAACCAAACGCACCCCAAGTCATGGGGTGCATATATCGGAAAAGAGATTATTTGCGTAGTTCTGTTATTTTGATATGCGGTAAATGTGTATAGTGTAGTGTAATGTGTATATAAAGAGTATTAAGAGATTCTTCCAGGAAGTGATATACATCCTATCAAAAATCTACTTTGTTCTCCCAGAGATTTGTGGAATAATCAACTTGTTCACCTACCTGCCGGGCTGTTTGACGCGACAACCGAATTGAGATACCTGTAAGTCATGTTGTGCATGTATCGTAAAAAGGCGTTTTTTTGGCGTAGTTCTGTTCTTTTAAGATGTGGCGAATGGGATTTCGGGATGTGGCATCTAGGCATATGCGGATCATGCCGGCAGAAAATGGGCAGAATTCGGTACTTTTTCTTGTAAATTTCATGCTTGTTTGGTATGTGGATAAAGAAATGGAGCAAAATTCGAGAAATTGCCCGCCATAAGGTTTGTATCGTTCTGCCAATTTCACTGCTTTTCGAGCAGAATCTGCCACCTTTTCGATGATTATCCACCAGTGCACAGTGGCATCTCGTTGGTTGATCTTAGGTACCCTTCCCCACCCTTTATGACCGATACCTGATGCTGCTCACGAGGTGGTCGCAACCAACGTAAGCGAAAATGTGGATCTTCATCCACCCTGTACCGAAACCCGTGCAGAACCAAGAGCAGCTTTGTATCAGCTACAGTTGTATGTAGACAGCTACGAAGGACCATCCGTCTGCTAAGGATGATCATGGCCACTGCAGGTAGCCATGGCTGCGTGGCGAAGCTTCGACACGCTAGCTGCTATTGCTATTCATTTTCCACTCTTCTTGCTCCTGGGTGCCATTGTCCTGATCTGTCAAGGTCTGAACTGAAAAATAGCTACAACGAGATGTGAGGGCAGTGCGTTTCTTCTCATTGCGCCTGGTGGACGAATAATGAAAAAAAGTTCGCTCCTATTTGTTTGCAGCGTTGACAGCCTTGCTCTGTGACGACTTGCTGCTCTCCAAAATATGAATCATGCTTTCCTACGATTCCGAAATGTCATGTCAGTGTTTCAGGTTTGCAAAACCAGCGAAAGATAGCGAAATAACAGCAGCGAAAAGTACAAGAGGACAATTCCGGTATATGGATTGATATTGACAATGACCCTTCAGACATCTGTTTCTGTGGTGTTGGTGATGTGAGTGCAGAGTTTGGATCGGCCAAGAGCGCAATGTGGCGGTGTGGTGTATTGCTCTTGATATTTCTTACCAATATCACTGTAGCCGATATATTCTTATATCCGGTCACTCAATAGCCGATACAGACTGTAGTTGTACACAACTCAATACAGAAGAAAAAAAATTCGCGTACAGGTACCTCTGTATCGACCTGACATCACTATCACATTATAGTCAGGCGTAAGAAAAAAACGTTCTCTTTGGCCTCAACTTCTTTGTTGTCCAGTTGGCCATTGTAGCCGTCGACTAGAGCGCAACATAAATCCGTAAACTGGTGACCCTTAATGCTGCCCACTTCGGAGTTTGCCCGATGCGTGCCATCCCTGAGCTCTCGCCGCAGTTTCCTGCTCGTCTCAACTCTTGGGTTGCCGTCAATTGCCGGCCGGTAACATAAAACTTGAATCTCAGCATCATTCGACACTGGATCCGCCTCAGACTGCTAAAACCCTAAAACCCTAAATTGGTGACCCCGACATGCGCTCTTCGGAGTTTTCATCATGCCATCCTTGAGCTCGGCTTGCCGCAGTTCCCTGCTCACCTCAACTCTCGGGATCCAGTCAATCGCCGACTGTTGACTGTAAAACCTGAGCCTCACCATCTCGAAACTGGATCCAGCCTCGGAGCTAGTGTGGCCCCTGCCGACCTCCCGGCCCACCTGGATAACCCACTATCCTGTCACAGCACATTGTTCAGTCGTCTCAAGCTGGAAATTGGCCACCTCCACCCCAAGTATCAGTTTGCAGGCATACGCCCGGCACAGCACTTGGAGGCACGCACGCCTCAATCAGTCCTCGCCTCACACAGCACGCCTCGCGCCAGTGTTTCTTGTGCAGCCGCCTCTTACATGATAACACTCCTGATAACTGTCATGCATCTCTTTCTTTTCCAATTTCTGCTTTCTGAGTTTTGTTTTGGTCTTTGCTACCACGTTATCAACAAACTTCATACACGCAGCGCTCTCTTGTACATATTGTATTCTATTTTTGCCTTTCCGCCTTGTACATGCCGCGCTTCCTTTCTTTTCTCTCTTTTTCTTGTTTATCGTGCTTCGCGCCTCCCGGCCTCACCAATGGCGGGGGAGTACTGTAGCGAACTGACGTCACTATCACATTATAAGCATGCGCGAAATCATAAAACATTCTCTTAGGCGTCACCTTCTTTGTTGTCCAGTTGGCCTTTGAAGCCGTCGTGTACGGCCCGACGTAAAACCCCTGAACCTCTACCGTCTACCTCCATCAATAGAGTGATTCTACTCTATCAGGAAGCTAAAAACGAACGCAGCCTAGAAGGCGGACTGGGGGCCTGGGGACTCTCTTGGTGCTTCAATGGCTATCCGGGATGCGTAGGAATCCCCCCTAGCACGTACTGCAGCTGGCTCTGATGATTCTTCCTTTCACGTTGGAATTAGTTGTTCTTTTCCTGGAGAGCCCGAATCTCCTCTCGAAAGTGCGCAATGGCGGCTTCCTTTTTCTGTTCTTTGGAGGCTGTTAGACTTTTCAGGTCCGCAATATCTTCCACAAGAAGACGCACTGTCTCCCTTAGCTGATTCATGATCGTAAGCATCCTGATGCTGGCGGCTTGAGGGTCCATTGGTAGCCCAGTCTGTAATGCTACTCGATCATTTGGCTGGATTTTTTTCCCGGAGTGCTCCGACGAGCTGAACTCGGCTGAGGCTGGCCAAGTTCACATTGGTGGCCCTTGCTAGGCTTTCTGTCCCTAGCTATCCAGAATACCAAAATCTATGGTAGCCATACTCCCCCTGGGAGAGCAGGGAATTGGACGTAAAAGAACCTACAACTGCGCAGGGGAACGACGAAAACGATTTCATGCCCCAGGGGCTGCTGTGGCTGTCGACGTCAGCGAGAACATCTAGCGTGTCGTTGACGTACGCCTTGAAAAGTGTTGGTCCAAGAATGCTTCCCTCTGGGACTCCAGCGGTGGTCGTGTACGTAGATGACGTACGCCTCCAACGAGGCACTGTAAGGAACGGGTGTCGAGGAACGAGGCCAGCCATCTCTGAAGCAGACCATTAATGCCTAGGCTACGCATCTTGTGGAGGAGGCCGACATGTGAGACACGATCAAACGCTCCTGTGATGTCCACAGCAAGGATACGCGCCGCCCTCCACAGCCCACAGCTCTTGCCCAGGCAGTTTGGAGAGCTTGCAAAGTGTCTGATTTTCCGAGGCCTCCGCGAAATCCAAACTGGTGTGACGTGAGCAGATGGTGGTCCTCAAAATAGTTTACGATGTGTCTGTTTACTAGAGTTTCCATTATTTTCGAGATTATGCACAGTAAGGATATGGGCCTGTAGTTGAGCGGGAAGATCGCTTGTGGATCAGAACAAAGTTGGCCGTGTTCCACATCCTAGGTTGGACTCCAGACCGGAAGCATAAGGCAAATAACTTGGACAGTGGCTCTGCAAGCTCGTGAGCACATTCCTTGAGGACGCAAGCAGAAATACTGTCAGGCCCTGTAGCCTTGGAGACGTCGAGCTTTGCCAGGAGGCGGCACACAGCCTCTGGGCGGAAGCGGATGGTGCAAAGAGGTTGAGCATCTGAGGGAGCAGGGTCCAGTAGGTCAGCCTCCACAAGGTCCGGACCGGCAACGCTACATTTCTTTGAGAAGAAGCGAGCGAATGCCTCGGCTTTCTCTGAGCTCGTTGCCCACTCGCGGCCGAAAGAGTTGACAATTAGGGGAATTTCGAGCTGTGTGCAGTTGCCAGCGGCGTTTTTCAACTTCGTCCACGACTGTTTGTCTCTGAGGGACCCAGTTGAGAGGTCGCCACAGAGGCTGTCCTCCTTTGCACGTCATGATCGGAACTGAGTGGCGATCGCTACAGTCACGGAATTGGTGAATGCCTGCTGAAGTGCTGGGTCATAAGGGTGTTTTCTCCGGTCGCGCCAGCGCTTTTTCTTCTCCCTCTCGGTCTGGGTGCATTCAGGCGTCCACCATACCGAATCGGAAGGCCTCGTTTCCAGAACTTTGGATGGGACAAATTATGCAACAGCTTCAGTTATCGAAGCGGTAACTTGCTCACAGGAAATTTCCTCCGTGATGATATGAGCCGCCCCAAGCTAAAAAGTGGCTTAGCGTTTTGCCAACAAATCGAGAAAATCACCAAAACGTCACAGTCGGCAAAATTGTACTCGAGCGCAGTCGCGAAAATATTCACTTTCGAGTACCCTTTCAAGTAAAATAGTTTGCAAGTGGAGAAGAAGAAAGAGGCCTTTTTTATTTTTGAGCAACACTTCTTCAGTGTTCCCTCTTTCATCGTTGTGGGGATTTCTTGCCCCTGCCAGAGATCGTAATGGAGCGTTCTGGAGAATGTGGGTGAGCAGGATGACACTCTGTCTCCGCGTGCGCCCAACCCCACTTGACGAGGAAGATTCGCTCATTCAGAATGGCCGTGTTTCTCATCGTGGCCACGACTAGAGCGGCTAGTATAGCTATGGGAAGACGTCTACAAGCCATCCGACTATCATTCTGACAAGCTGCCTAGTGAGTTGGCCCTTGCTGCGATGTTTCACTTCGTTTCGCACCTTCAAATGTTCATGACGTGGCGTACTGTATTCCAAATTTCCTCATTTTCAAGGCCAATGGTGCCACACGACGAAGCGACGCATTGACTCTACCTGCTAGCATATCGTCCCGTGGTGCCTTCTACCACTACCTGCACCAGGGAAGGAGAATGACATGGACTAGGACGGATAAAGAATCAGTGCCGCTTTTTAGCGATGTGCTGTCTGCTGGACCTACGTGCAAGGGACCAATGGAGCTCGGTCTCTGGCACAGAACTACGAGCTACATGAAAGGATTAATTCATGCTGGCAAAGGCGATTGGAGAGAGTATCACGGACTGTCTTGGTAAGATGCGACGTTTCCCAGCCCAGCGAAAATATAGTCACAGACTCACAACATCATTGAGGGATATGAAAATTCGTGTTGCGTGAAGAAATGACATGAGATACATAGATCAATTATTTATTCTTTCTTTGGATCTTCTAATTATAACACAAGTGCTCGTTCTTCTTGTATTGCTACCACACCTGCTAAGCTTTATCTCCACTTGGTGTCCCATGATTTTAGGAGTTTGGGCAGGTCTTCAAATCCTTAGTGTCATTGATACCAGGTATGCTGTGACATGTGCGCAATGTATACGTATTTATGGCACATATACATTTCAGATGGGCACCAAAATTTTCCTGATGGAAGTTGGATAGGTGGACATCACTTTGGCATGGAAAAAGAAATTTCCAAAAATTATGCCTAAGCCACCTTTTTGCTTGGCTCGGCTCATATCACCCCATTGCACGTTGCGAAGGTGCGCCCTATTTCACCCTAAGCCTGGTTTTCGCAGATTCTGGGCCACTTATTGTTTTACTGCTTATATAGACAGTTTCCTCTGAGACAAGAATGTGACAATACTCATAAAAAGGGCTTTACGAAAATCTTGAAAGTTTTGGTTTCACAAGTATACTTTCAAGCCTTCTCATCAGGTGAAATAAAGGCAAAGGAAAAGGAAAAGGAACACTGCGAAAAGGCCGAAGCATTCGGGCAGTATTTCTCCGCAAAGTGCAGTCTTGGTGACGACTTGCAAGCCAACAGCCTCCCTCCAGTCCGCTCCCGATCTCAAGCCCAACTCCGCAATGTCCACTTTCGGCCAAGCATAGTTGAGCGGAAGCTGAGGCAACTCCACCCCGCCAAAGCCACGGGTCCAGACGGCATCCCCGGGCGTGTACTCCGGCAATGCAGCAAAGAGCTGGCTGCACCAGTGTCACGGCTCTTTTCGCAGGCCTTCCGCCAAGGTCGGCAACCTACAATGTGGAAGACGGCAATGGTTGTGCCGGTGCACAAGAAAAAATCCAAATCTGATGTTAAGAACTACCGCCCGATCTCCCTCCTCTCTATTCTGTCGAAAGTCATGGAGGCCATTATTAACCACTCAGTCCGACAGTTCCTGGAGGCACACAACATCTTATCGAAAAGTTAGTATGGCTTCCGCAGCCAACTCGGCGCCCAGGACATACTCACGCTACTCAACTACCAATGGAGTCGCGTTGCAGCCAGAGGTGGTCAGGTTCGAGTCATTGCAGTTGATGTGGCTGGCGCATTCGACCGCGTCTCTCATGTAGGCGTTTTGCACAAGGCACACTGCTATGGTGTAACTGGTCCACTTCTCGCTTGGCTGAGGGATTACCTGACTGATCGTCACTTGAGGGTTGCAGTTGGAGGTGAACTTTCCAGTCCGTACCCGACCAAAGCTGGCGTGCCGCAGGGCAGTATCCTTGGTCCCACCCTGTTCATCCTCTACACCAATGATGGCGAGGACCACCTCCCACCAGCTATGGAGCTAGCAGCCTACGCTGGCGACACCACTCTCTTCCACTGCCTCACATCAAGAGCTGACATTGACTGTGGCTCTGAGCTCCTCCAGCAGGGCATTGATGCGTTTTCCCGTTGGGGACATAAGTGGAGGATCAAATTTGAGCCCTCCAAGACGCAGGCTATGTCTATAGGCCACCATCGCCAGCCCTGGGAGCTCCCTCGAGCAACATTTGACGGCACACCGGTCAGTGAAGAGAGTCGGCTGAAACTCCTGGGAGTCACCTTTGACGACACCCTGAGCTACTCCTTCCACCTCCGCTCCCTAGCTTCCCGTGCTAACCAGCGGATTGGCTTCCTGAAGCGAGCGTCTCCCATTCTGGACGCCGAGAGCCGCCAACGCGTCTACAACGGCTTTGTGCGACCCACACTCGAGTATTGCCCCTTAGTGTGGATGGGCTCACCCTCGTCCTATCTTAAGAAGCTGGACCAGATCCAGCGAAGGGCCCTCCACATCATCGGAGCAGGTACTTGGCTCCCTAGCCTGGCACTCCGTCGCCTGGTAGCTGCACCTGCCTATACCTACAAGCTCTGCTATCTAGATGCATCCAGCCCTCTGAAGCAGATGCTGCCTAAACCAGCCACTCACCGTGCCCCCGAGACAAGACCTACCCGTCAGTCTCTCCAGCTGCAGGATTCCCATCCATACCAGATGACAACTGGCCTGCCTGCCAACACCCGGAATAGCTGTCTCCAAGGATTCCCTGCTTGCACCGTTGCAACATGGAATGCCCTGCCACCAGACCTGTTCCACCACCCACCCGCCCAGCCCCACATGCGAAGCTTTAAGAAAAAGGTGTACCGGCACCTTCTTGCTCAGGACTGGCTCTCTGCTACTGATGCACTTTGAATCTGCTCGCCAACGCTTTCCCTGTTCTTATTATTGTTCAGTTGCTTACCTTATAACCCTGCTGCCATCATCACCAATATTCTGATTCTCATGCACATATCCCAGAACCTGCTATCCTTCGCAGTCCCCATCTCCAAGAGCACTGTGCTCTTCTATCTCCCAGCTCTCTCTCTCTCTCTCTCTCTCTCTCTCTCTCTCTCTCTCTCTCTCTCTCTCTCTCTCTCTCTCTCTTTCTCGCTCTCTCGCTATCTCTCTCTCTCTCTCTTTCTCTCTCTCTCTCTCTCTCTCTCTCTCTCTCTCTCTCTCTCTCTCTCTCTCTCTCTCTCTCTCTCTCTCTCTCTCTCTCTCTCTCTCTCTCTCTCTCTCTCTCTTTCTTCTCTTCTTCTCCCCCCCATCTCCCGATAATTACTAGCCCCCGTTTTCTCTCGACGCATTTGCTGTGCAGTGAAGCCGAGACCCTATGTCGGTGGAGCACATGAGACCCCGTCACCACGTCCACGATTCATGCCTGCGATGCTGCACCGCTGCTTTGCATGTCATGATTGGAAGCTGTGGCCTTAGTAAAAAAAAAAAAAAAAAAAAACTGAATTAAGTACGGTAAGGAGGTGGTCAAGCAGCGCAAAGAAGAATATAGCTAAAGTAAAAAGCGAAAATGCGTGACCTATACACATAGCAATAATGACACAAAAGTGCAAGTGCGAGAAAACTCAATCAGCGTGACAGGTAGTGCGACAACAAGAGACAATCACTGGACATAACTAACGAGGTTTTGATAACCTACCTAACAGCCGAAGTGTGAATTTAATTTGCTTATGCTTGCTTGCAAAGGTTGGGTTTCTTTGTATGGATGTAAACGGCTTCAAAACAATCTAGCACTGCGTACACATGACACAATCGAACAAAATCATCTGAATACCCAGCACAACAATCAGGATGCTCAAACAAATGACTAGCAATGGACGACTCATACTTATCAGAACTATCATCAGAATAATCAGGATGTGCCGTGGACACATTCGATACCAAATGGCTAGTCGTGTGGACCCTAGCCATTGCCGATGTCAGTGCTTTAGACGCTGCCATCACCGTCAGTGCCGATCTTTGCTGTTGCTTGGCGTTGATGTCAGTGCTTTAGACTGCCATCACCATCGTTGCCGATCTCATCAGGCAAAATAGCACGTCATACAGTGTAGTACATTTGAGATCAGCGGGAAGAAGATGACGACGTCCACTAATTTAGTATCTGTGCACACGAATCTGCTGTGTGTGTGACTCTGTGTGTCAGCTATGATATTATCATCTTCTGCGGTTCCATGCCTAGCATGTACGTCTGAACCATCCTGCAAAGTTTGAATGACGTAGGTTGAGCGATCGCTCCGCGAAACATACTTTTTGAAATTCTCTTCATAGTATATCTTCCACCATTGAAATTTCGAATTTCTTCAAAAAAAGTGCTGAGAGGGGTGGCTTGCAACCTCGATATGGCTTGTTCCAGGCATGGTTTGGAGCCATCTTCTTTTCAAGTAGTGGCGGGGATCTGCCCTGCAACTGCTACAACAAAAAATGATTCGATCTGAGAAAGGGTGAGTCCGCGAATCTCGGTTGAATATTGAGTATTTCAAGCCTTTTCACGACGAAGATGGAGTTCTTTTTGGTGATGGACGTCGCGGCAAAGGAAATGGTGTCCGACTTCTGGCGTCAGGTGAAGCCAGGGATCATTTGTCCAGTCAGGTCGGCAGCCAAACCGTCGGTAAGCTTGTGTTTGGATCCCGTTCTGCTCGATGTGGTAGATCACAAACAATTTGATATCGCACAAATTGATCTCAGCATCGTGCGTACGGTATTTTATATTCAGAAAATCCCAAAGTGTCTCTGTGTGGCATTCCTATGCCACGAGAAACTCCAATCAGGCTCCAATGTCCCCTGCCTTCATGATTGAATGTCCACTTCGTTTGAACAACGAACACAACAATCGAGGACGGCTTTGCTATGAAAAATACAGCTATACTGGAGCTGAAAAAAAGAAGAAAAAAACGTGCTCAGGATGAGACTCGAGTACACGCATACTCTCCCGGCAGGTGCAATTTTTTTGTGAAAAATGCGTGTCGCCGACTGACCAGTAATTTCGCCTGACGTGTCAACATCTGGACTCACGCATCCGACAACAGGAGACGTCCAGCAAAGAATCATCCTGGTACAAGATGATCTAACACAGCGGCATCAACACCAAGCAACGTCGACTCACAATAAACTAGACCACCGGAAAAACAACCGGACAAGACACTTACTGGCATGGCAGTGACAGGAACCGCATCAACTAGAAGAATGAGAAGATCGGCAACGACGGCAATGGCAGTAGGAGCAGTCTGAAGAACAAATTGCCTGACTCCACCAAGACTCGAACCAGGGACCCTCGCTTGTAGCCAGCGATGCTGTAACCATTCAGCTATGGGGTAGTGGTCATCCCAGCAGAAACCGTTCAACATTTTCTTCAGACTTCGAAACTCACTCTTTGTGTGAATCTATACAGGCGGGTGGGACGCAGCCCTCACTGTAATCCACACACTCCACCTACATACTAGCACGCAATATTCTTCCAAGATCATACATCCTATCCAAATTCTACTTTGTTCTCCCAGGGATTTGGACGGTAATCAACTTGTTCACCTACCTGACGGGCTGTTCAAAGCCACAACCAAATTAGAAGTACTGTAAGTCATGTTTGGAATGTACCGTAAAAAGGCGTTTTTGTCGTAGTTCTTTTGAGATGAAGCAAATAGGATTTCGGGATATGGCATCTCGTTGATTGATCTCATGTACCCTTTATGACCCGAAGCTGACGCCGCCCGTGGAAGACTTTTCCAGGTAGAACTCCGTGTTGGAAGCAAAGAGCTGAGATAGTGTCTTTACAAGTTCCACTGCGCATTCCTTCAAGAAAGAAACTAGCTCCTGCGATTTCTTTTCCACTAAACCACCTATTTAACCTTCTTTACCACAGGCAAGTTCCCTACCGACTGGAAACTGGCTACATTTGTGCCTATTTACAAGTGAAAAGGCAGCAAATCCCAAGCGAGTAACTATCGCCCAATTTCCCTCCTGTCCTGTATTTCCAAACTTTGCGAACGGCTCTTCTTCAATCAATCAAAATTCTCCTGCTGTGGATCCTGCGCAATCTGGGTTTCGTCGTGGTGACTCGACTGCTCTACAGCTCGCCAAGCTGATCCAAAACATTGTCGACTATCGTCATATGGGGCGGAAAGTTGCCATGTGCTTTTTCGACCTCGAGAAAGCTTTTGACACCTTGTGGCACTGTGCATTACTTGCTAAAATTTCCAAAGTTTTCGGTGTGTGTGGCGCAGCGCTAAAGTGGAAAACAGACTACCTATACGACAGAACGCAAGTAGTCTTTGTAGGTGGACTTCTCTCAGATGCCTCGCCTGTTCTGTCCGGAGTGCCGCAGGGATCCATCCTAGGGCCCCTCCTTTTCCTAGTGTATATTAATGAACTTCCCAGTCATGTTGAAGGTGTGTCCTTATTTGCTGACGATACTGGACTGCTCCGGTTCAATGAGTGTCTAGAGAGGCTGCGAGACAGTCTCCAGTGCGGCATCAACGAAGTCCATCAGTGGATGACTACCTGGAAATTAAGACCTAATATCGCCAAGACTCAGATATTATTCCTGCCGAACTCAGAGCCAACCTATGCATTTACTCTTCCCGGATCTCTCACAGACCTCACAGTGGTAAAGCAACACAAGCATCTTGGTTTTGTCATTGACTCAGACTTATCGTTAGTAGACATGTCGACTATATCTGTAGCAAAGTCAGTAAAGCTGTTGGCTATCTCGTGTCTCATTGCTCCCACCTACCGCTTGAATGCATTTGCCTTTTTTATCATTGTAATATTCTCCCCATTTTTTTCTATTGCTCAACCGCCTGGTCATCCCTACTAAGTAAATCGTTAATGAGTACCCTGGAAGTCCACAATAAGAGGATACTGAAAGTCCTTTTCTGCAAACCTTCCCTATCTCTAGTCAAGCGGATCGAAAACTGTGTATTGTTGTTCATTCTATTCGTCTTGACAAAGCCCCTCCACACTTGCGTAAATATAACTGGTTTCTTCCCACTCGTTCTACGCGCAATCCCTGCACTTTACCTAAAGCCCGAACATCAGCTTATACCAGATCTCCGTTTTTCGCTGCCTATTCTCTCTGGCTGGCCCTGCCTCTATCAGTAAAATCGTCTTGTACCCTAACTGATTTCAAGGCCAATATGAAGCTCGTGTTCTAAAAGAGAAGTTCTGCTATACGTCAAACGTAGAGAAATCACTTAGATATCAGGTGTCTGGGTTAGAGTCTACGGCTTCGTATGTTTTGGGTCCAGATTTCTACGCGGAGCTGAGGTTCTCTACGTTGTGGCACACGCAAAGAAAATACGTACGGATTGGCTGGGTATCGATCAGCTGATGCAGGAAACTGCCAAATATAGAAGGGAAATTCCCAGGACTCATTCCACGTGACTTCTCTACGTGAAGAGTAGAGCAGAACAGGATTTCTTTACGTTATGGGAAAGCGAAGAGACTTCGCGTGATTCTTTGCGTCACCCTAGCGTAGAGCAGAACCTCCCTAATACCGTATTTTCCGCGGTATAAGCCACACCGGGATATAAGCCGCACCCCCTTTTTGAGGCAAAATATTGACTAAAAGTTGGTATTCGGAGTATAAGCCGCACCCACAAACCAAGATTTTTCACACTCATTGACAAATGGCCTTTCTACAAATTTATTATGTATGGATGTGTGGAAACCGGCACTTGCAATACCCAAAATAGAGTCCCCGTATACGCGTACCGTATGGTGTAGCCCGCGCACTAAAACTAGTAAAAGTGCCGGGATAGCAACACAGGCGCGAAGCTGAGTCGAATGACATGTAACGTGACGTCAGAATGCATACTGATGTATGCTAAGCATTCATTCACGCAGGCATATTCGGTGTATAAGCCGCAGGGGCGATTTTGGTCCGATTTTTAGCGAAAAAAAGTGCGGCTTATACCCCGGAAAATACGGTAAACTGCTAATTCTTTATCGAGGTTTGTTTCTCTTTGCCTCCAGTAATCTGTAATATTTATATTTCTGCTTTGTTTTTGTTTACTGCCATGGCTGGCTACTGCCCCCTCCCTCCATATTGGCCTATATTCTCTGGCCACGGTAAGGTGAAATAAATAAAAATAAAATAAAATTGCATCGCAGCTCAAAGAAACTATTTGATCGCAAAACGAAGTGGGACCCATGCCGCTCGTCAACAATTACAACACTTTCGTTTCGACAAGTTCTCTCTGACTCCATTATCGATGCGAGGAAGAACTCGTTTGTTGTAAACGAGACGTTCATGACTGTATGAACGTGAGTGAGTTGTCATTCTTCCTGCTTTCGCGCGGAATATTTCTTCCAGTTCACAGTGAGTTTTTCCATGCAGCTCTCGAGTGCTCATATGGTAAGACGGCAAACTCCGCGGGCGATCGCCAGGATTGCTCATCATTTTGAAACGGACTGTAGGTCCTTCACATTGATTCAATACCGAATAGCTAATGTTTACTGCATGAACCATATAGCTGGCAGTACTTCTTGAAGAAATGAAGAAAATCTATCTGGCTGCTTTTGGAAAACGCCCGGCGAAGTACAGATATTTGCATTCGGAACCGAATGATTCTAGTCTATACATGTTGCCACTCACCGACATACAATATTTGAGCCAGAGCGCGCTAAAACATGACCACAGCTTTTTTTGAAAAAGTCGAGAAAATCGCGATTTGAATTTCGCGGCAAAAAATACGAAGTGCAGTGCAACGCGAGTCGCTGTTGTTGTTCTCCTCGGTCGAATGGACTGTTCCGGATGCATTTCTTTGTTTCAAGTAAGTAAGTTTATTTGTTTGAGTTTGTATTCCATGTTGCGCTGAGTCGCCTAAAACTGATCGTCATCGATGGAACAGCCTAGTAGTAGCAATGTACTGCGGAGCGAAAGAAGACGACATCCTCGCACTCCATGCGCAGGATAAAATATTTTGAGGATTCGGGTTGGAAACAAGGAAGACGATGATGGCTACAGCGACGAGTCATTTGAGGGCGACACTTTCATCGAGTGTAAAAGAATTGATGCTGGTAGTCCCACGATCTGCAGTGACGAGGAATTCTACTCTGATGACAACCTCGCAAGCGATTGGCATCGACACTGACTTGGGAGGTGAGTCGGCCGATGATTTGGCCAGAATGGACATCGCTGCACAGATCCGGGACAATGCCAGTATTGGTTGCAAGTGCAAAAACAATCAATGGACTCTGCTGCTCCCTCAACTTGCTCAAGTCGATAATTTGAGTACCCTTATGCGGAACATCGCTAGCACGAGCAGTAGGCAGCGAAAGCAGTACTCTCTGGCGACCGGAGAAAACTGTGTGCAGATGGGCTTTGGTGTGGGGAATATGAGTGCGACGTCGAGTATGTTGAGGAAGACAGTGTGCAGCAGTGTATACTGTATATCTGAAAGTACAGGTGGAGTGTGATGGAGAGGACGTGGAGCCAACTTGTTCGGCCATCTACAGTTGTTGACCGTGTTTTCGCTGGCGGTTCTCCAGTGGTACTCCAAACAGGCGGTATTTCGGACACCCAGCTCAGCTGCCTATAGAAATTTTGGATGTGGCCGAGTACCTGTCAGCTCATGCTATAAGACCCTGGACAGAGGAACTGACCAGGAAAGGATGAACCAAGGGACATATCAACTGTGTGCAAAAATGACAATCCCATTGCTGTACATAGAATTTCACCATTTCAACAGTGCTGCATATAATACCATTGTAGCAACACTTAGACATGTCAGATCAATCCAAAACTTTCAGATAGCAAACATTAGGTGTGTTTGATCATTTTTGAACAAAAAACTGAAAATCGAATTTTTGGTCTGTGGTCATATTTTAGCGTGCTCTGGCTCATTTAATGCTCGCTCCATAGCAAACCAGTCGGGCGAACTCATTCAAATCGGTGAGGACGACGGAAAGCGCCCCCTCAAGCTCCAACACCAGGCACCGCTCCAGATGCCAGCACGCCAAACCCTGCAGCGTGGTCACCTCCACCGAGTCTGACAAGAAATTTGAACTGACAACCCTTGTCACTCCAAACAACAATCATTAATTTACTGAAGAGGGAAACATCCCCGACACAAGTTGTTTCACAGAACACATATTTTCGGTTTTACAAATCTTTTTAAAGGACTGACCGGTTTCGCTGTCTAAGGCAGCTCATCAGAGTGAAGAGAAATGTAAAAACACAACAGAATGTATGCAGGCGAGAGTGGCACTAAATTATACATAGATACAAGTAGGCCGCCAAAATGCTAGGGGCCCCAAGAGCATTGGGAGTTCCTAATTTGGAAGTGCTGCAATTCTGTTATGACATATGTGTAATAATGTGGGCTTGAATTCCAATATGGATGAATGCTTAATATATGGAACATGCTTTGTAATTTTGAACAAGTTGTATGTTGTACATGAAAAAGCATGCAAGCCCAGTTTGTACATTATATCTGTCTTGTAATGTGTACAGACTTATTTCTGGCAGTGTCAATATATTGACACTGCTAAAACATTTCAGGAAAAGGGCCGTAACACGGCTGTTTTCAGCACGACATCTATAAAGATGGAGACGACCTGTAGCAACGGCCTT